TATAAAATAATTAATAATTATATTTTAAATTATATATATATATATATATAATTGAGGAGTATTACATCGAGTCAAAACAAGCCGAACACGAACGAACAAGTTAGGCTCATTAATTTAGCAAAAGAGTCAAACACGAGCTTCTTAACAAACAGAACGTGAGTTATGTGCAAATAACGAGCCGTTTTGACAGCCCTACATGTAGACGTATAAACCCCTAAAAAGTATTATAATTAGTTAATTACTAATTAATTCATACAAGATAAGTAAAAATCTCACTCCTTGGGCCCGTAAGACCCAAAACCTTGGGGTTTAGCCGGACCTGCACGTCGGTGACTCGGTCGCTTCCCCAACCCGTGGATAGGTGGGGTTGGTAAGGTGGACGTAGCTGGTGAGTGGCGACCAAGAATGGTAGGTGTGTGATTGGGACGACGAGAGAACTTCGGGGGGCGAGTGGCCCCCAACCCTCTGCACCCGGGAGGAGAGGACTCTTCTTCTTCTCCTTCCTCGCTCATTTAAAAACCTAACAAATTTCTCCTCTCGCATTTGCCTTTCCACGAGTCTATAAAGGCCCATTCTCAAGCGGCCTCCTTGTGAAACGAGGGGGGAGAGGAAAAATGAAAGTTATCGAGAAGATAAGGGAGGCCGTCGATGGCGAAGGGAAGACGGTGTTCTCCTTTGAGTTCTTTCCACCGAAGACGGACGAAGGTGTGGAGAATCTTTTCGAGCGGATGGATCGCATGGTTGCCCACAACCCGACATTCTGCGATATCACCTGGGGTGCGGGTGGTTCCACCGCAGACGTCACCTTAGAAATTGCCAATCGGATGCAGAACATGGTGTGTGAATCCTCTTCGTTCCATGCTCTTTGCATTTTGATTTGAATTGTTTTAACTATTTCCTTTCTCCATCCCACTATCGATATAAGCTTGTCCTGAGTTTCTAGATCTATGGTTTATGCTCGTTTCTAGTTGAAGTGCGACTTAGATCTGATAGTTTGAAATCGGGGAGATGTGATTCGCTTGTTTGTTTGCTGAGAAGTTAGAAAGAGATACAGAGAGATCTCATATTTTGTCTTCTTTGGAACATCGTTTTTTATCCTCCTACTTTGTTTTACTGTCTGGTGCGATTACTGTCGCTTTAGATTCAGCAAATCCTAATTGTACTTGGATTTTATATTAACATCCAAATTGTTCAGGATTCTGGTGCTAAAAATCTGGATTTGCTAGTTTTACATATCGAGTTCACCGTATTCTGTTTACATCCAATGAGATCTTGCGAGTTTTTGGCACTTTTTTTTGGTTATTGTTCGTGCAAAACTGCATGTAAATTTAGTTTTTTGGCACATTTTTTGTTTGTTAGTGTTTGTGGGAGAACTGAATGGGACTGGTGATTTGTAGTCTCTCCACTGCAAAGATTCCTTACCATGCACTATTTGGCACAATTTGAGACTTGTATTTGAACTGCGGCATTTTTCTTCTATTTACCAAGCGGCATTATCTGGTTTAAATTGCTTCCGTTGATAGTGATGGATGAATTGAGTCACATTCTGAAGTTTTCTGAACAGGGCAAAAATTTTGGGGGAAAAGAACAAAAAGCAGAGATTTATGGATGCATCTGACTTTATTTGTATAAAACTTCATACTGTTTGGCTTTCTTTGGATAATCTTTAAAGCTGTTTGCCGAATTGGTTTAATATAAGAGAAAAGATAATTGCAAAACCAAACTTCGATAATAAAAGTGCATCATAAAAAGCAGACGAGTGCAGCGAATATAGCACTTCTTAAACTACTAAAGCAATAAATCGAATGAAAGCGAAATTAAGTTTAGAGATCTTATTACCGAATCTTGCATAAGTACTTTCATTTAGTGTTTTTTTTTTCTTTTTTTTCTTATTCATGGTGGCAACTCTTCAGGATAAATGAATTTTTCCTCATAGTGTATACTTGCTATTGAGGATAACATGAAAATCTTTCATTTAATACATATTTTATATTTAGAAGCTCCTCTATTGGAAGATTTTGCCTAAGTAGAGCTATTTCAGGAATATGCTCATGCTGCTGAGAGAAAAATGGGATTTTGCAGGGATATGAATCAAACCAATTCATTCACCATTAAATATCTAAATTAATAAATAAGAAATATTTATTTTGAATTAAATACATATATATACAACAGTTGGAACTTAGATCAGAATTTGTTTCTGGCATTTTTCGTTTTCTTGCAGATCTCTGTGGAGACAATGATGCATTTGACTTGCACAAACATGCCAGTTGAGAAGATTGACAATGCTTTGGATACCATCAAGAACAACGGAATTCAAAATGTTTTGGCACTTAGAGGGGATCCTCCTCACGGTCAGGACAAGTTTGTTCAAGTTGAGGGTGGATTTTCATGCGCTCTTGATTTGGTATGATCTGGTTTCTATTCTCTTCAACTCCATTGTGCTGTATTCTCCTAGGGATTAAATTGAAGCATAAGGTGGACATTGTTGCTATTTTAGTTTCTATGATTTTGGTCTTTTAACTATTTGGTATCAACCTTTTGCATTTCATAACATTGATTTATGATGTAATGCTGTATTCTTATTTCCTGCTGTTTGCAAGCCTTTCCACTGTTCTGTTTAAGTTATTTATTTTTTATTTTTAAATTTTCATTGTTCTTAGGCTCTTTTTTCTTCTTTGACATGTTTAATTTCTAAATGCTTCATCAAACTTGTAGGTAAAGCACATTCGAGCAAAATATGGTGATTACTTTGGTATAACTGTTGCTGGTTATCCAGGTTAGTTACTCATCTATTCTAAAGTTATTCACATGATCCATTAATTGACATTGGCTTCCTACGTATTAGCCATGTGGCTTAGCATTTTGTTTGAATTTCAAATACTGAATATATGATTTTGAAAACTGTCCCATTTTCTGAAATTTGAGATAAATGATGACAATATATTTGTGTGCTGAGTATAGAGATTTTAAACTTTCACTGGCCATCTAACATATGAAAATGGACACTTCACAAATTAAAAAAAATGAAAATAGCTGAATTAAATTTATAGCTGTGAATAATGTGCAATTTGGTATGTCATGGCTTTAAATTAAAACTATGATATAGAAGTAATTAGTGATTTTACAACTAAATTTTAATAAAACCTAGATAAATGCTTGTGTCTGTTATGTTTACTACCAAATGAATTGTTATGATCTTATGTAATTTTGTGGCGCTTTCACTTTATTTCCTTATCCTTGCAATACCGGGTTATGTGACTAGTTATTGCATAGAGAGAATAAAACTCCTTTAATCCATATGACCTCAACTCTTTTCTGTATCTGTTTGGTTTCATTACAGAGGCACATCCTGATATGATCCAAGAAAATGGTGCTACTTTGGAAGCTTACAGTAATGATCTCGCTTATTTAAAGAAAAAGGTATCCTCCCATACTTTATATGTGGCTTATTCTGCTTGGTGGTTGTGTCTTTATGTAAATGGCTACAGAAGAGTCTTCCATTGTAAAATTTTTGGCACAAGTTGTCATGCTGTATAAGTATCTGGATTTTTCTAGCATGTGAGCATTTGTTTTAAATGAAGAACAGGATACTTTTCAAGGAATCTCCTTGGAAATTGTAGTATCAACGATTCTAATTGAATGTCCTAATTAGTACTGTTCAATTATAAGCGAATTATATTCTTTATAGTGGATGAGAAATAGAGGGAGGGAGGGAGTCTAAGTCATTGGAGTAATGATACACGTCCCAAACAATTGTACATACAAAGTTATTTAGTGCTCCATTTTTATATGTGGATCAGTTAAAATTGGGATTGTTATATACTTTTTTTTTAAGGGTGTTTTTATTGGTTTATCTATTCAAAAGCTGATACTCAAATTCCCCCAATAAAGTAACATTGAATAAAAATACTAAATTTGTTGTGTTCATTCCATAACATGTCCTGGCTTGGCAGACGCTTGCGTTGGATATTTTTTGTATGAAACATGTTGGTTTTATGTTGGACTATGTATTACTAGTAGAACATATTGAATGTAGGGCTGTCAAAACGGCTCGTTGTTCGCGAACAACTCGTGTTCGGCTCGTTAAGAAGCTCGTGTTCGACTCGTTAATTTCGTTCGGTAAGTTAACGAGCCGAACATGAACTAAGATGTGTTCGTTCGTGTTCGGTTCGAAATACTACTCATCAAGTATATATATATACATATATATATTAAGTAGTATTTTAAAAAAATCTAATTGACGACAAGGCTACAAAGACTTATAATCAATTAAAATATTAATTAAGAAAATAGAATAAAAATTATTAAATTAGATTCAAATGATGTTTTAATATAAATAATAATTTTTAAATCTTGTTCAAACCCTTATTGTCTTATGACTATATCATTAGGATTGTTAAAAGGACTTTGTTTGTGAACAGCTCGTGTTCGGGCAAACGAGCCGAACACGAGCGAGCCATTGTTAAAAGGACTTCGTTCGTGAACAACTCGTGTTCGGGCAAATGAGCCGAACACGAAAAGGACTTGACTCAGCTCGTGTTCGGCTCGTTTACATCCCTAATTGAATGTGCAAAGCCAGGACAAGGTATTGTTCTCGTCTTTGGCTTAAAGGACCCCTACCTTGCCTTCTCTTCTCTCATTTATTCTAGTCAAAGTGGATTCATATCTAACACGTCTCTGGAAGTGTAGATGATTAGATGATCTATTCATCCTTAGATGGCATGCTTCGTGTCAAGGAAAGCAAAATTTTTTATTTGTGTTTGTTAAGGTCTACTTGGGACCATTTTTGTTTTTTATTTTTTAATTTTTTGTATTTATTCTCTTTAGTTTATGTTTTGATTTTGAAACAAAACATGTTTGACTATTTGATTAAGGTATGATTGTTTTTAAAAACAATCAACAACAAAAACAACAACAAGTTTTATCCCACTACATGAACCTTTTTCTCCATTTAGTCATATTGAGTGTCATATTTTCATTTCTTTCTAATAGATTAAGATCATTTTTTGATCATTTTTTAACACTCAAAATACCTAAAATTTAATTTGAGTATTTTTAAAATCATATTATTTTGCTTTTAGAAATAAAATTTAAAAGATACTGAAAAAACACTGATTTTAAAAACATGAAGGAAAAGAAAAAAACAAAAAATAAATTAATCCCAAAGAAGCCCTTATTTTTTGGGCATTCATGATACACTTCTGCAGCATTGCTTTTATACTCCCTTTCCCTCGTGAACTTAGAAAATACTGTTGATCGGCCGCGAATCAGTATTTTAAATTTGATTGTCTTCTTTGTCATGGTCAATCATCTTAAGTCCATATGAATATCATCTTTATGCTTATCTTTGCTCCAAGTTGCTGTGTTAGATATATGGATATTATAAGTTACATGAAAAATTTACATCATGTATGATGCTTCATGATTTTCATTACCATAAATGATATGACACTCACATTGGATTACTTAGGGTTATGTTTTCTAATGCAACTAATATGATACTTAAACTTTCATGCAAAAGAAAAATAGATGATTCACAAATCATAAGTTATCAAATAATCCAACAACTCACTTACTTTGAAGGAAAACATGCATATTAAACCCAATGAACAGTTCGAAACAAACAAAAGTAGCCCGCAAATTAATTAAATTCTACAAAATCAGATTTTTGAAGAAAATTTAGAAGCATGAAACTGGCTCATAACAAATTATGCTAGAGAAAAACGGCATTGAACAAATTATAAAAAATCAGGCCTCTCGTTATTGGAAAGAGATGACTTTCTCTAAAATGAAGTTGTTTAACTGGTACCACACTTGATTGAGACACGTATCCAACATGTATTCACAACCTTAAAACTGAAAAGAGAACTGTTATGTAAGCCAAAATTGATGAATTATATGCCTCTGAATCTTATTTATAGATTCCTCATAGCCTAGGTTAGTAGAAATGAGTGGCACACGATTAATTGCAATTTAGATTAAAGTTATTCTCAATTCCTCAAAAACAACCAAGCATCACCCTGTTGGAATGCAAAATTTTCAGATCAACCAAACGGCCGAACCACCTGTGACAAAATATTTTATAAATTTTCTTTATTATTATTATTTTTGTTTTATTTCCTTTTGTTTTAATGACATTTTACTGATATGCTGTTGGATGTTTTATGCTTTATAGGTGGATGCGGGTGCAGATTTGATAATCACTCAGTTATTTTATGATACTGACGTTTTCCTCAAGTTTGTGAATGACTGCCGTCAAATTGGAATAAGTTGCCCGATAGTTCCAGGCATCATGCCTATAAATAACTACAAGGGATTTTTGCGAATGACTGGATTTTGCAAGACTAAGGTAAGCTCTATCTTTTTGTTTTTAAGATGAAACAAAGTCTTTTCTTTCATGTTGCAAGACCTGAAAAACGTTACAAAAAAAATAAATAAAGCATTTATTTCATTTATTGTTATATGGTAGATTCCATCCGATATTACTGCTGCCTTGGAACCAATTAAAGACAATGAGGAAGCCGTCAAGGCATATGGAATCCACTTAGGAACTGAGATGTGCAAGAAAGTTTTATCTCACGGGATTAAAACATTGCATCTCTACACACTGAACATGGAAAAGTCAGCGCTAGCCATATTAATGGTATGCAATTTTTTGGATTACTTTTCTTACATAATGTTGCCTATGCAAAAGCATTACTTACAAATTCATGTTTACAGAATCTTGGATTAATTGAGGAGTCCAAGGTCACAAGGTCTTTGCCATGGAGGCCTCCTGCAAATGTGTTTCGAGCTAAAGAAGATGTTCGACCAATTTTTTGGTATTTTTTTTCAACCTATAAGCTTTTTAAAATGTAAATATTATAAATATAATTTTATTCAGATTTTGCAGATATTTGATTGTTATTTCATGATGTTTCAGGGCTAATCGTCCAAGGAGTTACATTTTGAGAACCTCAGGTTGGGATCAGTACCCACATGGCAGGTGGGCTGATTCTCAAAACCCATCATATGGAGCTCTTACTGACCATCAGGTATTTGATAGCACTTACTGAAAATCCCTACAATTGTTTTTGTAAATGTAACTTTTATAGTCAAAGCATATTGAAATTTGGTTCTCCTTTGCACCACTGAACTTTTTATGTTTTTTTGAACAGTTCATGCGTCCACGTGCACGAGATAAGAAACTTCAAGAAGAATGGGCTACCCCAATCAGATCTATTGAAGACGTTCATGAGGTAGTTATCTGAGCTTGGCCAACTTGCTTCTTCTAAATAAAGCATTAGTTTGGGATCAATTTTGTTTTTTCTGTTTTCTTTTGCTTTTAAAAACATTTTTATTTGATGTGTTTTTACTTATTTTTTATTTTTTAATCCTAAAAACAAATTAACATATTTTGAAAACACTCAAAACTGTTTTAAAAAACAATCATATTTTATTTAAATAGCCAAACATGATTTCTTTTAAATTAAAACATAAACATAATAAAATAAAAATAAAAATGTGATGCCGAACAGCCTCTAAATTAAGAATTTGAGCATATATAGTTCTGATTGTTGTGTTCTGTAGAGGTTTATGAGTTACTGCCTGGGCAAACTTAAAAGCAGTCCATGGTCTGATCTGGATGGGCTTCAGCCAGAAACAAAGATAATAGATGAACAGTTAGGTCAAATTAACTTGAAAGGTTTCCTTTCCATCAACAGTCAACCTGCAGTCAACGGAGTGAAATCTGCTTCTCCTACTGTTGGTGAGTGAATTGTTTTTTAGCCGTTCTAATCTTTATTACCTGAATCTTTGGTAGTTTTTACTCTAAATCTAGAATTTTCTGTTTTCCCTGAAAACATGTAATCTGGCAACTTGTTTGGCACTTCAAAACTATAGAAAACTTGGGCTTAATAATACAGATCAAATGTTTTGATTTGTGTCTCTATTTTGATCCATTTGATGTTGTTGGATGCATTTTTTCATTGTTCCTTCTATTCATGTATAAATTCTTATCTCTGTCCGCTGATCTACTGATTTTTTATGATTTTTAATCTTTAGTGAGTAATCTACCTGGATGTAACTAGCATAATAATTTTTCTCGCATCATTACTAATTGCTTAAAAGCTCAAAGATGGGCAATGAATTTTGGGCTTCACTGAGATTTGTTGCCGATAGTATGGGATCAGGATTCGAAATGATAAATGGCAATATGATTTATCCTTAATTTAGTCGGGCAACATTTTTTTTACATAGCAATAATAGAAATTATGGGTGAAACTTCCATATTATAAATATCTACAATAGTGTTTTTCCTACACTTAGGAGGGCAGTCTAGGTCTACCCTCACCAGCCATTGACCAAAATGTTTTGATGTATTCCAGGATCCTGATTTATTAAGGAAAGCTATCTACAACCTTAATAAGTGATGTTACATTAATCATTCATCTATTATTGTTATTTCTTAAGCTATACTTTCTAATTTTGTCATTTGCCCATTATAACGTTCTACATTTTATCCATGCTTAACTTGGATATCTAGAATATGTAATACGCACAACATCACTGATCATGTGCAGTTTTATAAAATTATCTCTTATATCTCCATGATATTCTTTTGTTAAATAACACTCTGGGGGGCACTTCATAATTTTAACCACCAAGCATTAAGCTTAAAATGTAAATTCATCATCTTTTTCTTCATTTTTTCTCAATAATAAATTGAAGATACATAAACTTTTTTGCATTTAGATATTATTTTATTTTAATTATATTTACTGATAATTATTAATAAAATCTCAGGAAAATTGATTTTCTCCATTTTAAACTTGCAATTTTTTTTCTTTTAAATTTATTTTACTTTATCCTAGTATATCTGTTGCATGGCAGGATGGGGCGGTCCTGGGGGCTATGTTTACCAGAAGGCCTATATTGAATTTTTTTGCTCTTCAGAGAAACTAAAGCAGCTAATTGAAAAGTGCAAAGCAGTTCCATCTCTCACTTACATTGCTGTGAACAAGGAAGGACACAGTCTCTCCAATGTTGGCACTAATGCAGTAAATGCGGTCACTTGGGGTGTTTTCCCTGCAAAACAAATCATTCAACCAACTGTTGTTGATCCTGCTAGCTTTATGGTGTGGAAAGATGAAGCTTTTGAAATCTGGACAAGAGGATGGGCTTATTTGTTCTCTGAATCTGATCCTTCAAGGGCTTTACTGGAGGAGGTACCAAAAATGCTGCTCTTTTTTTTTTTTTATCGAATTCTATTTTCATTTTTAAAAGTGCAGAAAACCATAGAATTCTGCTGCATAATTAACTTTCTTGTTTAAATGGTTTTTTTCCATAAATATTACTGAATTATTTTCAATTTACATATTTAGTAATTAAATTTTTATATTTATTTCTATAATAGTCTAAATTTTAGATGACACAAAAAAATATTTCTATATTAACTTTTCAAAAAGAAAATGCTTCTTCTCAATACCACATTTTTTATGCTATCTAGAGATTAGGGAGTTCTATTATAGTGAAATTTACATGCGGAACATGTAATTCTTATGGATTTATGGATCTCACACCTTAACTTCCATATGTACATGCATAGATTTTATCTATGCATGACAATATGAATTTAACTATTAACATGTGTTAATTAATGCTATTTATGTGTAAATATGAACGTTTTGGCATGAGATACGTCGGTAAATTTATAAGAATTGAGTGCCATGTTTGTAAATGTCCCTTTAGTATAAATAAATAGACAGTTAGATGTCTGCTTTTTTTTAGGAAAAATTATGTACATGCCACACAATACTTATGTATTTAAACATCTCACACCCAAAATTTGATATTAACACATTTGGTACCATAAACCTACGCTTGAAAATAATTTTGGTATTCATGATGTGATATTAAAGATCTGAGTGTTTCAATGCTAGATGTCTGTAAATTCCCCATTTTTGTTATTTCATCTTCCTCGCTTTTACAATCTTTATGTTACATGCAGATCCAGAGAAGTTACTACTTGGTCAGCCTCGTTGACAATGATTTCATCCATGGCGATCTTTTTGCTGCATTCAAGGACATCTAAAGCTTGGCCATCTGCTTGAGAGCCTTAAAGCTCAGTTTACCTCAGTAGCCATTATCCTCCTCAACATCCCCTAGCTGGAAAAAGCTGGGAAATTGGGATGCTATGTTGTTATTCTTTTGCTTTTTTATTGCCATGATTTTAATTTTATGAATCCTTGGATTAATTATATTGCTTAAGCTGTATTACAGGAGATGATGCTTTTTTGTATACCAAAATGTTGGAGCTTTCAAAAAACATGTGAAATAAATATTATATTCAGTCTCAACGCCTGCTTTTAGTTGCTTGAGGAAGTATACTTTGTGAAAAATGATGAATTTAGGTGAGAAAATGATAATGATGATTTCATTTGCATTTATGAAATGAGTGAAAATATAATATTATTTTAAAATATAGTATTTTATCTATTAGCAATTAAATCAGCACTCGAGATTAGAGGCATAAACAGTCAAGCTTGAGCTACTTTGTTTGAGTTTGAGCTTGATTAATTAATAGAGCTTGAGGTTAATTTGAGGTGGTTGAGCCAAGGCCCTGTATTAGGTTGATGAGGCCTCGCCAAGGACTTCGTCTTTGCACCCACTATGCCATGAAAAAGGATGAGGAGCAGGAGAGTGAGGGTCTAGCCTCTTATGAACCGGGGTGCCGTCGGATCACCACCCCCCTTCCACCTACACTTTCTACCTCTATTTCGGACTCGAGATAGAAATCGTGGGAGAATTGGAGAAAAGAGAGCCGCCTGGCCGACGAGCCCTCGTAGCAAACACTCATTCCCCCACGTCTCAGATTTCTTCCTTGCTTTCAAAGAAACACAAGATGGCGGGGAAAAATGAGTGCTTGCTGTCAGAAGACTTATGGCCCTTCTGACAGCAATAGTCAAACATATGTATTGTAAAAAATTTATGGTCTCGTGAAAAAAAAAAAAACCTATGAATGACCCATCGGGAAAAAAAAAAAAACTTGGCGTTATGATGGGGTAGACCAATGGCTGACTTCGCCAAAAAAGTAAAGAAAAAAAGAATACTTATTGTAATCACGGTCACCTTTGATACTGACACAAGTGAGGCACGTGGAAAGGCAGCGATGCCAAGCCCAATAGATCTCTTGACTACCGTTCTCCAATGCTCGGGAAACTCGGCCAGACTGATCGAATGACAGGTTGACCTGCCCGAACATAAAATGTGGGATGATCATTTCAAACACGTGTTTCCTCTGGATTATGTGCAGGAGTTCTTACTTTTGAAAATCATTATACTAATTTCCTTAGTGGACAAATTTAGTATAAAAAGCTATACCACTTATGGCATTATGTTTGCCATTATCCAATTCTCAAGCCCTTGGAGATGCTATTCATTGTAAAAAGATTATTAAAAGTATAAATCACTATGACTTAAATACACATAATTAAACACAGACATATCAAATGGATAGAATTATTTAATATTTCACCTTTATTCTCAAATTCATGAGCTACACTAAAGATTAGTTCGCCATTTTAGGAGACATAAGGCCATTGCATTAATAGAAAGGGGCATTTACATACTATCCAATTCCCATGTATATATATATCAAACACCTAAACTCAATTTTTTATATTTAAACCACCCAAATCTTTCATATCACATAAACAATACCAGCACTTTAACTTTTTGTACAGTGAAATACAACTTTTCATGCACAAGCAAAGTAGTATGTACGTAAATATTTGAAGTATAGATGATAGATATGTAGATACATAAGAATTGAGTGGTCTGTATGCAAATCTTCCTAATAGAAAGAGGTGGCGAAAGATACTTACTGGATTGCTACGCTTAAGTAAAATATTAAGGTTCATATATTTGAATTATATTATTGACCTTCTTAGAACAGATTCATCTTGATAGCATTATTATTATAGTAGATAGATTTTCAAAGATACACACTTCATATCATAGTCTAAGACAAATGATACACCTCATAGAGCTAAAATTTTCCTTAAAAAATTACTATGTTACATGTGTTACCTTTCACTGATGTTCTATCAGACATAAATGTTAGGTTTGTGTATTTTGTTTGTAAATATTATAATAATTTTTATCTACTAAATTGAAGTTCTCTTCTTATTTCTACTCTGGAATAGATGTACATATAAAGCTAGTTAGGAGAGCTTTAGGAAACCTATCGAGTTCCTCGGTAGGCTAGAACATAGAAAACTTAGAAGACATTAACTTTATGTATAATAGAACCACATTTAAAATAACAAAAAAATTAAATCCCTTCAGAATTTTTTTATTTTAACCCTAAGAGATTCCTTGACAATGACAATATTCCTACATATACGTTTCTTTTCTTTTTTTTATCTTTTTCAAAAATTTTCAAGAGCCACATGCTAACATTATTAGATAACAAATTGAAGCAAGCAATGGTATGCATGCCAAACTAATTAACCCATAGAGTTCATATATAGAATTTAATGAAAGGGGCTATATATTAATATTTATTCAACATAATAGATTTAATAACATTAAGTATTAAAAGTTACATGCTAGATCATGTTGATCATTCAAAATTTAGTTACCATAATAGATTTAATAGCATTAAGTATTAAAACTTACATGCTAGATCATGTTGATCATTCAAAATTTAGTTAATAAATTGAGACAAATGCATACATAATAGATTTCCTCTTGGATATATTCATAAAAAAAAAATCACAAAAGACTTATTTTATCATTTCCAAAAATTATAAATAAGATATTTGTAGGCTAAATTTATTATTTTTGAATCTATTCGCAATGAATATTTACTCATATAGCTCGAGTTAATTGAAATTGAAGGCATTATCAATAATGAAGCGTGAATTGTCATAGATGAATAGCTTAGATTTCTATTGAGATAAAAAAAAAGTATAAACCACAAGAGGATACTTACCAAACAAAAAAGCTTGATAACTACCTTTGCATTTTTTGTTTTTTTAAAAAGAAAATAGGAGTTTGACCATATATGATTAATAGAGAATATTTTATATAAGACAATGTACCTTGAAACCATATTAATCCAATCAATTTTAAGATTAAAGAAGTTAAAAAATATATATTTGATTAACTCTTTTAAATAGGGTGATATTATTTATTTTCAAAAACTCAATACCTTCAGAGCTATCTTTTTGTCATATGGATGAATTTTAAGAAAAAAATATGATGTTTTTTGTTAGAAGTTTTATTTTTTTCATACAACAATTAATATATCATTTTGTGCCTTATTTATTTATTAAAAATAACTTTAATCTCTTGTGCAAATTTATATCTACAAAGAGTTAACTTTTGAATTGACTTGTGAATCAATCATAGTTAGTGTTTAAGAACCCTAGCATACATCCTTTCCTTTCTTATCTATTACTCTCTCGCAAGCTAGCTACCTATCTAAGGAAATAAACTACTTCAATGCTCATAATTATTGAGCTTTGCTCCTTTTTAGAAACTATTAACTTTTAATGTCTATCTAATATGATCACACACACACACACATACACACAAATATCGATACACATACAGAAACACGCACATTGACACACACACACACACATATACCTACGTATGTATGTATGTATATACACATACACACATACATATATATAAGTAATATAAACATATATACATGTATACATATACATACATCTACATACATATATCTACGCACACACACACACGGAAGTTTACATAGCACCCCAATTCTTAGGTTTTTACTTGTCTCACTATATATATATATATATATATGTTGTACATAGATGTATATATCTGTATACATATATGTACATAAGATATATACATATATGCATGTATATATCTGTATACATATATGTGTGTATATATACACACACTCACACATATATGTATGTACATAAGACAAATACATACATGCATAAAACATCTATGTATATATACACACCTTATCTATTTGATATCAACCATGCTATCTGCTTCAATTCATTAAATAAATAGATACTTTAAATTTATTAAATTATAAAAATAAAACAAGATTAAATTCAAAAAATGAAGATACCTGCTCCAGTATTATAAAACAAGCAACAGATCTTTTTTAAATGTTTTGCCGTCAAAACATGAAATCGTTACACTCCGTCAAATATATTGTGAGAGACAAATGTAATGAGCTCGTCTTTAATTTTTTTAATTTTCTTTCAGAGACAAATGTAATGAATTGGGTTTTTTTTCAGTAATTTTTTCCTACCCATTAAACAAGTGAAGCTGTAAATAATGAGAAGACATTTGTTCGGACAGAGCCTTAAAAATATGAAATTGCTTCAGTCCGTCAAAGATACCAGCTGCAGATTTTTTTTTCTATATTATTATTCTGCCCATTGAGTTAGGCAAAATATGTATATATATGTATGTATATTTGTTAAGATGAGAAGGAGATTAGTTGGAAGCGCGCTTCAGAACTCTGCAACTTCAATTAGCATTCATGGAGTCCTACCGAAGAATTGTTTCATTACTTGCCCTTATCTTGCTCCTCACAACTTTAGGTAAGCCAACATTTTAAAATCATATAGACTTCAACGCATAACATCTAAATATTTTATATTGGATTGTGAAGGGATGGCGCAGGGTGAACCATGCCAAAGTTCGAATCCGGTTTTTAGCAGAGTCTGTGTCGCCGATCTATGCCAAAAGTATTGCAAGGATGCAAATAATTATCAAGCGTCGGCATGCACACTTAGACAAGGCTGCATTTGCTACTCCGGCGATTGTCAAATTGTCCCTTAGCTATTATTTACGAAAGTATCTTCTCAATTTCCGATGTTACGAGTGTATTCTATATTTCTGTAGTTTCTTCATGTTGTGTGGATGTCATCTTTAACTATGCTTTGTTTCTTTCTTCTTATTAATGATATGAAGTGTCTTTTTTAAATTTCATTTACCCTTTTATCAATGTCATGTTATGTTCTGTTATGTGAGGTTTATACACATACATATACATAAGAATATATATAGAGAGAGAGAGAGAGTGCCGAGCTTGGTCACGCGAGCTTATAACCCAAGTGGGGGCATGTGGATGCTTGAATGATCTCATCCAGATCACGGGCTGGGTTGCGATGGGCCGATTTTTGACCTGCCCAATAATTTGCGCTAAAGCCCAGGTTAATAGCGTGCTGCATTGGAGGGGACTGCGTGAGGCTGGTTTAACATAGCAGTGATTACCTCTAGCTCTCATCGGTTAATGGATAACAAGTCGGTGGTCTGAGCAAGCCCGATTAGCCCACGAGCCAGTTAA